ATTAGGTTTAAATTATTGTTATTTTCAGCTAAATATGGTGGCTCATGCCTGCAATCCCAGCACTTTGGGAGGCTGAGAAAAGATATCACTTATGGCAAGCTCAAAACCAGCCTGGGGCCTTGGCACAGTGGTTATGGTGCCAGCCACATGCACTGAGGGTGGTGCGTTCAAACCCGGCCTGGGCCAGCTGAACAACAATAACAGCTGCAGCAAAAAATAGCTGGGTGATGTGGTGGGCATCTGTAGTCTCAGCTACTTGGGAGGTTGAGGCAAGAGAATCGCTTAAACCCTGGAGCTTGAGGTTGCTATGAACTGTGACACCATAGCACTCTACTGAGGGTGACATGGTGAGACTTTGTCTCAAAAAAAACAACAACAAAAGAAATAGCCTGGGCAATATAGCAAGACTGTGCCTCTAAAAAGAAAAAAAAATTAAAAATTAGCTGAGTTTGGTGGTATGTACTTGTAGTCCAGCTACTCAGGAGGCTGAGGCAAGAGGATCTATTGAGTCCAGGAGTTTAAGGCTACAGTGAGCTATGATTAGGCTGCTGCACTCCAGCCTGGGTGACAGAAGACCCTGTCTCTTAAAAAAAAAAAAAAGAAAGAAAGAAAAAAGATTAGAAATAAGAAATTATCATTATTCTTTAAAGAGAATGATTTGATTACAATATCTTTTGTCTGCTCTTTAATTATGAAAAATTTCTAACTTACAGAAAAGTAAAAAGAATAATGAAATACCCTTCACATTGATCCATCAATTGTTAACATTTTACCACGTGTTCTTCCTTTTGTATAAATACATGTATTTTTGTTTTCACAGAACCATTTTAAAGCATTTATTCCTTACTTAAGAAATGAAGCATTGATACTGCTTTCTGACATATAATCAATATTCCAGTTTTAGCAGTTATTCTAATAATGTCCTTGATAGCTGTTTAATTTTATTGTAAATCCAGGAGCCAATAAAAATCACATGTTGCATGTATTTGTTCTGTTTCTTTAATTTGCTTTTATCTAAAGCAGTCCTTCCACCTTTTTGGTCAATACATTTTTTTTTCTTTTAAAAGTCCAAGCCGGAGCGGCACCCGTGGCTCAGAAGGTGGTAGTTTCAAACCCAGCCCCGGCTGAACTGCCGAACTGCAACCGAAAAATAGCCAGGCGTTGTGTCAGGCGCCTGTAGTCCTAGCTACTGGGGAGGCTGAGGCAAAGCTTAGGAGTTGGAGGTTGCTGTGAGCTGTGTCACGCCACAGCATTCTACCAAGGGCAACAAAGTGAAACTCTGCCTCAAAACAAACAAACAAACAAAAAAGTCCAAGCTTATAAAATGTGTATCCACGTAATTAGATTCAGGTTAAATATTTTTTGGCAATAATGTTACAAAAGTGACACTTGTGTATTTGTCATTGCATCACATCATAAGGTTTATTGCTTTATTGGTGATGTTAAATTTGATCTTTGGTTGAGATGGTATCTCTCAGATTTCTTGCCTGGAACCTTCTTCTCTTTCTCCATTCTGTATTTGCATTTCTCTTATTCTTCTGTGCAAATCTTTTACTCAGTAGCATTGACTTTATATTCATTTGCTGTATCCAGCAATACCCACAAGATAGTTTCACCAGTAACCTTACCAACAATAAACTCACTAAATTAAATTCAAATGTCGTTTGGGGTTTTTTGTTCTTGTTCCTTGCAGTATATCCCACTAATGGTGCCCAGTCATTATGGTATATTAAAAAGTTACTGGCATTCTTTTTTACAGATGCTCATGTTATGATTTGATATCCTTCGTTTCTATTATGTTCAGCTTCACAATTTGTTTTCTTCTAATTGAATTTTAAATTCAAGTTAAATTTTATTATTTGAAGGTATAGAATTTTAACATGGTTCAAAAGCCAAATTCACAAGAAATGTTATAATCAGAGAAGATTTCTATTCTCTTCCTACTTGCCCTTATAGAAAAACAATTTTTTCATTTCTAGGTTTTCCTGTGTTTTTTTTTTTTACAAAATTAGCAAACTTAAAATTATATATAAATTCTGGAAGAATATACTATGTGTATACTACAAGAATATGTATGTTCCTTTTTTATTGTGGTAAAAAACACACAACATTAACTCTTTACCATTTTTAAATAGTACAGTTCAATAATGTTAAATATATTCACATTATTGCACAACAGATCCCTAGAGCTTTTTTATCTTGAAACACTGGAATTCTATACCCACTAAACCTGAATTCTCCCTTTGTCCCCCTATACCCACTAAACCTGAAGTCCCTTCATTGCCCCTCCCAGCCTTTCTACTTTGTTTCTGTGATTGTGACTACTTGAGTGGAATCATATAATACGTGTCCTTATCGCAAAAGACTTTATTTCACTTGGCATGTTCTTGAGGTTCATCCACGTTGTAGCTTGTGACATGATTTCCTTACTTTAAGGCTATATAATATTCCATTATATATGTACACCATGTTTTCTTAATCCATTCATCTGTCAATAGACCTGGGTTGTTTCCACCTCTTGCCTTTTGTGAATAATGTAGCAGTGCTAGGTATGCAAATATCTTTGAAATCTTGCTCTGAATTCTTTTTGATACCTACCTGGAAGTGAGATTCCAGCACTCCATATTCTCACTAGCATTGATATTTTTTGTTTTCTTTTGACACTAGCCATCCTCCTGAGTGTGAGGTGATATCTCATTGTGGTTTTGATTTCCATTTCCCTGATGATCAGTGATACGAAGCATCTTTTCATGTGTTTATTAGCCAGATAATGATAATATATTTTCTTTGGAGAAATATCTACTCAAGTCCCTTAGCTGTTTTTAAATTGGGTTATTCATTTGTTACTTGAGTTTTAGAAGTTCCTTAAATGTTTTGAATAATATCTTCTCATCAGACAGATGGGTTGGAAGTAAGTTTCCTTTTCACTCTGTCGATCGTTTCCTTTGCCCTGCAGAAGTTCTTCAGTTTAATATAGTCCCATTAATCTATCTTTGCTTTTGGTGTCATATCTGAGAAATGATTATTAAATCCAATGTCCTGAAGCTTTTCCTCTGTTTTAAAAGAAGATATATGTTCTTGATTTTTATTCTTTTTTAAACACAGCATATATACGTTTGAAGCCCAATATTTTTTCAACTTCACAAAATATTCTGGAAATTACTTCATGCAGGTGGATTGTTCTGTTAGAGCTTTTCCTTGCACATTTGTTTATTTTGTTTTGTTTGGGGTTTTTTGATGGCTATAAAAACCCATCAGATTTATCATGTATTATTCAACCATCCTCCCATGGATGGACTTTAGGTTGTTTCCAAAATTTTGTCATTATTATAATGTATCAAACTTATGTGCATATTTTACATATGTGGTTGTGTGTCTTCCTAGTGGGTCTGCTGAAATAGGACTGCTAGTCATTAGGCAGTTACTATAATATATCACCTCAGTTGTTGTTGTTGTTGTTGTTGTTGTTGTTTTTGGAGACAGAGCCTCAAGCTGTCGCCCTGGGTAGAGTGCTGTGGCATCACAGCTCACAGCAACCTCCAACTCCTGGGCTCAAGCGAGTCTCTTGCCTCGGCCTCCCAAGTACCTGGGATCACAGGCGCCCGCCACAGCACCTGGCTATTTTTTGGTTGCAGGGGTCATTGTTGTTTGGCGGGCTCAGGCTGGATTCAAACCTGCCACCTTAGGTGTATGTGGCCAGTGCCTTAGCCACTTGAGCCACAGGCGCCGAGCCCCTTTGTTAAGTTTTTTATTGTTCTCCGCATCCCTTTTCTTCTCAAATATATATGTATTTATTTCTATAGTCTAACTATTTGAAAATAAATTTTATCAAGTGGGCTGGCAACTTTAGAATCACTAATAAATTAGTAGACCCTCCATGACTTAAGCTAAGTATAAGCGATAAAAGTTCAAATCTGTGAAAAGTAAGCGTCTTAAAAGGAATCCATTGTTATTAACTTACAGCAAAAAAACTGAAGTTTATGAGACTCGCTTTAATGAAAAGATGAGATATCTGTAATTAGACTTTTGATAATTCTCAATTTTTAAAAGAGTTTACTAAGCCTGAGCATATTTTAACTCAATTTATATATGAATTATAGTAAGTGTGACAATTAATAGTGACCACCACAGCTGTTATATATTATTTACTGGGTGCTGGGCACTATGCTCAGCAATGCATGTACGTTACTTTCCATTATTTTGATTAATTCTCAAATAACACATGAGATGTATTTGTAATTATATTCCCACTTTAAAGATGAAGAAAGTGAGGAGGCGTGGAGCCTCATGCCTATAATCCTAGTACCTCCCACCGTGGGAGGCTGAGGAGGGAAGATTGAATTCAGGAGTTTGAGTCAACCTGAGCAAGAGCAACAGACCCCATCTCTCCTAAAAGTAGAAAAATTAGCAAGGTTTTGTGGTAGGTGCATATAGTCCCAGGAACTCAGAAGGTTTAATGAGGCAAGAGGATCACTTAAACCCAGGGATCTGAGGTTGCTGTGAGCTAGGCTGATGCCACCACGGCACTCTAGGCTGAGCAACAAAGTGAGACTCTGATTCCAAAACAAAAACAAAAGATGAAGAAAGTGAGGTATAGAAATGTTAAGTGACATACTGATGTAACTACTAAGTAATAAAGGGAAAATTTGAACCTGGAGAGTCTTCAAGATAGATCCTGGTCTTTTAGAACACTACTCTATTACTTATATGGGGACTCGTAACTTTATTCTGTTGTCTTCCTCTATCAAGCCAACATTTGATTTAGGTCTGTATGACTGTGGCTTCCACGTCCTTAACCACTGTATATATGTACTTTGTTTCTTATCTGGTTTTTATGTCTAGTTTGTTGTCATGAGAGCTATAGTACAAAATTGAAATTCCATTTGTAACAGCTACAGTCTTTCACAAGGCATCCGTTTCACACCATTGTCCGTGGCAGGATATTGAACTACGTAAGCCATTTTTCTGACCCTTTAAATCACTTATGCTTCTCTTTTTAGTGGATGATTCAGCAGCCACATAAAGTAGCAACGTTTTTTGGATGCATTGGGATAGATAAATTTGGTGAGATCTTGAAGAAGAAAGCTGCTGAAGCCCACGTGGACGCCCATTACTATGAGCAGAGCGAGCAGCCCACGGGAACCTGTGCCGTGTGCATCACTGGTGACAACAGGTCAGTGTAACAAGGAGAGCTTTGGACTAATTGGCTGTATCAACACTAGACAAATCTGAATTCCAGCATGAACTTGGAATTTGGACTTCTTATAATTGTTTTTAATGTTCAATGAACACTTCTTCCTCATATCATTTTTCCTGTTTTGTTTTTAAATTTACCTTTGTTAAACATGCTGTTGAATTCATGCAGCATATTGGAATGAAAATTTAAAATTATCTGTTCAGTCTCTACTTTCTATAATTAGGAACAGTAAAGAAAAATGTTATATACCTATTTTGTTCCACATCTTTTAGCTGGTTTCTTGATGAACTTGGATTAGAAAGAATGTTCTTACCACCATATCCTGAGATTGGAATATTTAATATTTAAACACGTATGTGTATTCTACACATATAAAATAGTCCATTATAGTCAGTCTCATATGAATTAGGTCATAAAGCATTCTGGCAAATATTCATCCATATTAAACAACTTCAGTCATAGGTAATGCACAACTCAAGAAACAACCTAGTATTTTTCCCCCCCTGGTTGTGATTCTTCCATACGACCAAATATATTTCTTTTTTTTTTTTTTTTGCAGTTTTCAGCTAGGGCTGGGCCTGAACCCGCTACCTCCGGCATGTGGCCCAGTGCCCTACTCCTTTGAGCCACAGGCGCCACCCGCAACAAGTATATTTCTATACAACTTTACTTATTAGGAAATTCTTCATTTGACCTTGATGTATATCTCTCAGGGCCTTCCATGCATTGACTGTATTTGTTCTTTTGTGGCTACATGGAGGTAATCCTTCAGTACATTCGCGTACTGCTAACATTATCAGCATAGTTTCCTTCTTTGCAAGGGAAAAACAAAATAACTTTCCTAGTGGTTATTATATTGAAAATCATCAAAGATTCTCACTTCATTTTTTTCTTCTTGAGACAGAGTCTAGCTTTTCACCCTCAGTAGAGTGCTGTGGTATCACAACTCACAGCAACCTTTAACTCTTGGGTTCAAGAGATCCTCTTGCCTCAGCCTCCCTAGTAGCTGGGACTACTGGTGCCTGCCACAACACCTGGCTAGTTTTTTCTGTTTTTAGTGGAGATGGGGTCTTGCTCTTGCTTGGGCTGGTCTCAAACTCCTGAACTTAAGCAGTCCACCTGCCTCTGCCTCCCAGATGGCTAGGACTACAGGCATGAGCCACTATTATCTAGCCCCAGATTAACTCTATGTATGATTGAATTATTTATTTTTATTTTTATTTATTTATTTATTTTTGAGACAGAGCCTCAAGCTGTCCCCCTGGGTAGAGTGCCATGCCATCACAGCTCACAGCAACGTCCAACTCCTGGGCTCAAGCAAGTCTCCTGCCTCAGCCTCCCAAGTAGCTGGGACCACAGGCACCCGCCACAACGCCTGGCTATTTTTTGGTTGCAGCCGTCATTGTTGTTTGGCAGGCCTGGGCTGGATTTGAACCCGCCACCTTAGGTGTATGTGACTGGCACCTTAGCCGCTTGAGCCACAGGCACCGAGCTGAATTATTTATTTTTAAAGTCAGGATCTTTCTCTATTGCCTAAGCTGGAGTACTTTAGTGCTATCAAGTCTTATTCTGTTGCCCCAGGTTAGAGTGCAGTGGTCTTAACGTAGCTCACAATAACCTCAAACTCCTAGGTTCAAGTGATCCTCCTGCCTCAGCCTCCCCAGTAGCTGGAACTACAGGTGCTTGTTACAATGCCTGGTTAATTTTTCTGTTTTTAGTGGAGACTTGTCATGCTCTTTATCAGGCTGATCTCAAACTGCTGAGCTCAAGAGATCCAGGCACGTTGGCCTCCCAGAGAGCTAGGATTACAGGCATGAGCCACTGTGCCTGGCCTAATACCACTTTCTAAATTGGGATTTACTAGAACTTTTGCATTTCTTATAGTTGAAGATATTTAATCTGTCCTCTTTCATTCTCAATCTTCTTTTCCTTTTCCATCTTTATATCCTTTATTTTCTTCTTCATCTGCCTTTATTTCCTACTTTCTCTCCCCAACTGCCTTGTTCCAATTCTCCCACTTTAGTCTCTTCAGTTTTGTTCACTGCTTAAGCTCCAGCAGATATATATTAAGGAACAAACACTATTGTCATACTAGGTATCAATATGGACAGTAGTTATTGAATTACTAAACTGTAACTTTCAAAAATAATTAGGGTACTAAAGCCATTCTTTTTATGTGTAAGAGAATTTTATAATCTAAGGTTTCAATATGTGTATATAAAATCATCTGTTATTCAAACACTAAAATATATTTGCTTAGACCTTTGCCCTTCACAGTTTCCTAAAACAAACTTTAATCTGCAGGTGCAGAGTTTTCCCATTAGTGAAAAATGGTTCAGGTTTTGCTTCTGATACCACTTAGGTTAGACTAAAATTTCTAAATTCTTATGTATGATAAATTGATATTTTAAAGAATAATCATGATGATAATATGTCTCCCAGATGTCAGAAACTAATTTTTATATTAATATTATGGTTAGGGTGATCAATATTGTTTAGATGATATGGGAAGTTAAAAACAGGAGAGAAACCCTCACTAATTCATTATCAATAAATAGTGCTGGGAGAACTGGATAACCACATATAAAAGACCCTCACCTTTCTCCACTCACTAAAATTGATTCAAGATGGATAAAGGATCTAAATCTAAGGCATGAAACAATAAAGTCCTCTAAGAAACTGTGAGGAAAACACTTAAAGTTATTGTACTGGGGAAAGACTTTATGAAGAAGACTTAAGGGGAAATTGCAAGAACAACAAAAGTAAAAAAACAGGACTTATTTAAACTGAAAGGCTTGGCTCGGTGCCCATAGTTCAGTGGTTAGGGCGCTGGGCACATGCACTGGGGATGTTGGGTTTGAATCCAGCCCAGGCCTGCCAAACAACAATGACTACAACCAAAAAATGGCTGGCTGTTGTGGCAGGTGCCTGTAGTCCCAGCTACTTGGGAGGCTGAGGCAAGAGAATCGCTTAAGCCCAAGAGTTGGAGGTTGCTATGAGCTGCAATGCCACCGCACTCTACTGAGGGCAACATAGTGAGACTCTGTCTCATAAAAATAAAATAAAATACAATAAAATAAAATAAAAATCTGAAAAGCTTCTGTACAGCTAAGGAAACAACAACCAAAGCAAATAGACAACCATCAGCATGGGAAAAGATGTTTTCATATTTTAAGTAAGGCAAAGCTTGATAACTTGGATCTACAGAGAACTCAAATTAATCAACAGTAAAAAAGCAAAAAATCCCTTATATCAATGGACAAGAGAGATGAATAGAACCTTCTCTAAAGAAGATGGATGAATGGCTAACATATGAAAAAATGCTCATCATCCCTAATTATCAGAGAAATGCAAATCAAAATCACCCTGAGGTACCATGTAACCCCAGTGAGAATGGCCCACATCACAAAGTCTCAAAGCTGCATATGCTGGCGTGGATGTGGAGAGAAGGGAACACTTTTACACTGCTGGTGGGACTGCAAACTAATACAACCTTTTTGGAAGGAAGTAGGGAGAATCCTCAAAGAACTCAAACTAGACCTCTCATTTGATCCTGCAATCTCATTATTGGGTATATAACTACAAGAAAAAAAAATCCTTTTATCAAAAGGACATTTGCATTAGACTGTTTATTGCAGCTCAATTTACAATTGCCAAACTGTGGAAACAACCTAAATGCCCACCAACCTAATGGATTAACAAGCTGTGATATACACACACACACCTACATACATATACATACACACACACACACACACACACACAACCATGGAATACCGTTATATATACATATATATATATGTATGCATATATACACACCATTGAATACTATTCAGCCTCTAGAAAAGATGGAGACTTTACATATTTTATATTAACCTGGATGAAGTTGAAACACATTCTTCTTTGTAAAGCATAACAAGAATGGAGAAGCAAGAATCCAGTGTACTCAATTCTGATATGAGGACAGTTGATGACCTAGTACATGGTGGGGAGGTGCTGGAAGAGGGTACAGGAGGCAGGGGGATTAGGGATGACGGCGTGTAACACACCTCTTGGGGGCGGGATACAATTATAAGAGTGATTTTACCTAACAAATACAATCATTGTTACCTGGTTCTCTGTACCCTCAGTGAATCCTCAGGAACAAATAAATAAATATATATATTATACACACACACACACATATATATATATTATGGTTAGGGTGATCAAGATTGTTTAGATGATATGGGAAGTTAAAAACTGGAGAGAAACCCCCTCTATCTAATTCATTATCCAAATTCTAGAAATTAATAGAGTTAGATAAAATTGTTTTCAATAGGGCCAGTAGCCCTTGTTGCTAATATGTAGAAATTGAGGAGTTTGGGTAATGCAGATTTTTCTTTTGGAGAAACTGTGGAGATTCCTATGTAAAAGTAGTTTTATTAACAAAATGGAGTTTTATATCTGGTACCAGAAGTGTTTGTTTTTATTTTCTAGCCATTTTTGTTGAAATTTTTCTGAAGTCATTACTACTAAAATATTTTTCTGAATTAAGAATAATTTTTCTTATTTTGCATATGAATATATTGATACATATTACTCTTCATTTCCTTCATTTAATTGAACATAAACAGTTATGCCCTTCATTAGAAATTGACATATGAATGGGTGGACATATGTTTTGGAAGAGAATCTAGTTTTTTTTCTTTTAACAGAGGAATGGAGCATATTACCAAAGTCTCAAATGATGAATTTTTTTTTATAAGCCATAAGTGTTACCATCAGATTACATAAAGAGAAAAAATGGCAAGTAATTTTATAAATTCTGGGTCAGATGAGGAAGAAGTATATTTTTAATAATTCATATACAATGTAAATAATTATTTTATAAGTATAACTTTTGGGCTATAATTGAACAATCTAGGTGGCACTTGTAGCAAGATTTTAAATGTTGTATTCTGCTTAGATTTCAACAATAAAACTGAACCAGCCCTGTGAATTTTCAGCCATAAAAACGAATTCAAATTGATTCAGGTCTTTAAAATTCAATTGTTTGTAAATTAATTCTTCATAGTGAACAAGGTCTACATTTATACATGTGTTCTGTGAAATTAATCCCATAATTGGCTTTTAAAGCATTAAATGGTCAATTATGTATGTCAATACTTATTTTTGTAAAGATGTTTTTCACTATAAAAAATGAAGTTTTTAGTTGTATAGATTTCTTTTTACATAATGATACAGTAACTTTTGTTTTGACTGCATTTTCAGTCATTAAAATATAAAAAGCAAATCTTATTTTCGTATCCAAAGGAAACATAAATGCCATTTTCTCAAAATACCAGGTGGCGTTTAGAACAAAGATTAACATGTCTCTGTTTACCTCAAAGCCAACTGGAAGTCTCAGAAAGTTCTCAAAACAAAATTAATATTATTTACATTTGTTTAAAAAACTGATAACGTCAGCTTTGAAGAATTAAGAATTAAAATGTTATAGGAGCCTTTCTATCTTCATCACTTCCCAAAGGTCCCACCTCTTAACACCACCACAAAAGGGGGAAAAAAAAGAGAATTAAAATGTTATAAATCAAATAATTTGCAAACAAAAAATGATAATTAACTCTGTAGACATACATGCCAAGTTTGAATATAGTAAGTAAAACCTACTTACTTTTTCTTTGTTTTAGGTCCCTTGTAGCTAATCTTGCTGCTGCCAATTGTTATAAAAAGGAAAAACATCTTGATCTGGAGAAAAACTGGATGTTTGTAGAAAAAGCAAGAATTTGTTATATAGCAGTAAGTATTTGCCTGCTTTAAATTTCTGATACATATTAACATGGTAGATTATATGAATACTCGTTGGCTGATACACATTTTTAAAAAATTGTCTTTTACTCATTCTGCAAATTGTTTACCCATCTTAAAACATTCGTTAGATTCACTATTGTCAGGATAAAACGGAAAGAAGTACAGTCTTTCTATATTTAAGGTAATTTGTATTTACCTTCAAATCTACCCATTTTTGCATATATTATATGTCGATGCTTTCAGCTAAGTGCAGAAATCTGTATTAGAACAGTTTCCTAAGATATTTTGAAATAATTCTACAAACTTATACACGTTATATTTTTAGACAGTTTGTGAATGACACATGCATTGTGTGGGCAAATATTAGTGGTATAAGTACTCACTGAACTTATTTGCCAAAAAAAAAAAATCTTAATTGCTATTTATTCCATAGTAATTACCATGACACCTTTTAATTTAATATTTCAAAAACATTGATCGTGACAAATCTCTTAAATCTGGGAATAAGGGCAGCATGTAATTTGAATTATTAAGTCTTCTGACATAAAAATAATTGGTTAAGAATTTATTTCTAAAATAGAACTCTACTAAATACCTACTGAATTAATCACCTTGTTTTTATTTAATATGTGTTAAATGTGGCTGCTCACAAATAAATAGATACCCCTGAAAAATTAAAAGCATCTCATATGCATATAACATATGGTTTGTCTACAACAGCTGCTGCCTGAGCTCTGTAAACAGCTGGTAAGATGTGTAAAAATTGATTATCCAGTAGGAACATGTTTATTGAAAATATAATTATTTCTTTCAATCTCATGTTAACCTCTCCTACAGCTTGTTCTTCTGTATACTGTACAGCGTTGTTATTGATCCCTTTCTATACCACATCCTTCATAACTGTCAAATATATGCTTATATTGAGAAGATTTTACATATAAGGAAAGTCACGCTATCTCTACTGCCAATATGTCAGAAAAATATTTCAAGAATTCAGGATTTTTCCCTTTTATTATTTCCTTTTTCTCAAAATGCTTTCATTGGTGTCTTAATTTTTCAAGTCTTAGAAGTATATTTTTGTAATGTGATTCTTTCGGAGGGATTTATGTACTATTTCAAACCATTTCATGTTTGAGAGTCTGATTTTCAAAGAGCACATGGTTTAAAGTTTGGCATGCCTTATGTATATTATTTTCATTGACTATGAAATATGACAATATATTCTGATGAAAAAAGTATGTTTAACCTGACAACTACAGTTCTGTATATTTCAGTATACAGTAGTTCAATCCTGAGTTATGAGCCAACTTACAAGCAACTCATCATTTTAATGGTTAGACAGTATAATGTATCTCGCCAACTTTGGGTGAATGGAATTTTTATACAATTATAGTCCCAACTTGCAAAACAACTCAGACTTTTAACAATTATGTAGTATATTACACATCTAGGCAAATTTGGGTGAATGGAGTTTTGATAATAGTATTTATACTAAAGTACTGTTTTGTATAAGGTATAATCAATTTTAATCACATTAATAAGGAAAAGGAGATTATTTTGAGATGTAGGTGATATATTCAGCCAGAATGAATATCAAAATGGATGCCAGTTTATAGCTTCTGTTTCAGCAATTTCATGAAAAGAATGCTTTTTCAAATTGCCAGGTAAATTTATTGTCTGTTCATAGCTTAGCTTATTTCAAAATAGTTCTGAAAATAGTATTCTCATGTTGGATACCTGGGATCCTCTACATTCTTTGTCAGCACTCAACAAATGTTTATTTGGCTAGTAACTAAAGGTATAATTCTTATTCATTAAAATATGTAACATTACATTTGAAATGTAATGTTTATTTGGCTAGAAACTAAAGGTATAATTCATATTCATTAAAATATGTAACATTACATTTGAAATGTAATGTTATTTTCACAAAGACATTCTGCAGGTTTTTGAAATCTTAAATTCTCTTTGAGTTCAGGGCATTTGGAAATGAGATGGAATATAGTCTTTTCTTAGCAAACTTCAAACTGGTTGGGCTGCTCCATATTTCCAGATTCTGTTGGGTCAGTAGTCCCCTTAAATTATTGTCATATGTTAATGAGATTTAATCAGTTATAATATTGGGAGCTCTTTAATTCTGAAAAGCTCTTAATCTAAGAAACTTAGTTTATTTAATAAATTTCTGTAATTAAGACATCTGTCTGTATTACATAAAATAAATTAGGTCTACATCCTCAGCTCTACCTCTTCCCAGTATTTCATGAACTAGAAATAGTAATGAGCATTAAGAAAATTTAAAAACTTTATAATTTTCTTCACTATTTAATGCAGTGATTGAGTTCATATCATAAACCTTCCTGATAAAAAGCTAAAATTGGATATACCAGCACCCTCTCTTGGTTTAATGAAATCTTTTTAGTTAGTTTGTTTAGTTTGTTTTCTTATCTTTACATTGCATAAATGGGAAATGTAAACTCGTTTTTCTATGTTTAAACCAAGTTCTCAGATTCCTTGTTAGTAGGTAATTAGAGAATACTAGTCATGAATTATTAGAGAATACTAGTATGAATTCTTACTACCTAGTAAGAATACTAGCTACTATTCAAGTTGGGTTGTGTAAAATACGTGGTATCTGTTTCTTCTTACTCAGTAAATATTTCTGAAATTAGACCTCTAAGACTGTGTGTGATATTTTGGAAAGGCCTAAGAAAAGGATTAGGAAATTGGTGCCATTAATTTTTCTAAATTATTTCCTTTTTCAAGTTATTTTAGTAAGCTGTGACAAGCCTCCAACTTGAACCCCTGGGCTCAAGCAATCCTCTTGCTTCAGCCTCCCAAGCAACTGGGACTATAAGCACATCCCACTATGCTTGGCTAATGTTTCTGCTATTTGTAGAGATGGAGTCCCCCAGTGTGTTGCCCACGCTGGTCTCAAACTCTTGGCCTCAAGCAGTCCTCCTCACTTAGCCTCCCAAGTAACTAGAACTATAGATACACACTCTCATGGCTGGCTAATTTTTAAAAATTTTTTATTTTTGTAGGAATCTTGCTTTTTAATTATTTAGCAACTTTGTTACTATGGAATTCACATAATATACAACACATATTTTACTTGCGTATATAACCATAATAACATTGCTATTATTTGTATTTTTTTCTTCAATTGTCAAATACCTTTTAAAAGAGGTTTAAATAATAAGAAAAAACCACGTACGTACATATTTACCCCTGTCATCACCATTTCTAGTGCTCTTCATTCCTTTTGTTTTAGAATCAACTTTCTACTTGGTACCATTCTCCTTCTGCCTCAAGGGCATTCTTGAACATTTCTTTTATTCGGATCTCTTGGTAATCATGTCTTTCTGCTTTTTTTATGTTTGAAAACATCTTTATTTCCCCTTTCTTTTTGAAAAACATTTTTGCCAGATATGTAGTTCTTGCTTGACAATGTTTTCAGTGCATTAAAGATACTGCCCCATTATGTTCTGGTTTGCTTATTCTTAGTAAGAAATCTGACCTCCTTAGTTGTGTTCCTCTATATTCGACAGTCCCCACGTCCCGACTCTTGCCACTCTTAAGGTTTCCTATTTATTACTGCTTTTTATCAATTTGATTGTTACACCTTAGTGTATTCTTCATGTTTCTTGTGCCTTAGTTTTCGTTAACTTTTTAGAGCTCTGAGTTTATAATTCTCATTGTGTTTGGAATGATTTCAGTCCTTATTTCTTTACATTTGTTTACCAACCCCTTCAGGCCACTGAAGTTTTCTCATAGCTCACTGAACTTCTTTTCTTTTCTTTTGCCTTAGTTCATTTTTTTCCTCTTTGTTTCTTTTTGCATGCTTTCCTTGCTATGCCTTCTAGCTCACCAATATTTTCTTCTGTAATATCTGAATCATTACTGATTCCATCCTGTATATTTTTCATCTCAATATTGATGTTTTCATATTTTGAATATTGATTTAGCTTTTATCTTTTCCTTCGGTCTACTTTTGCCACATGTAAAATACAGTTAAGGTAACTTTATATGACGTTTTCTTATAATGTTAACAGATGTGCCGATTCTGAGGTGGTTTTGAGTGTTTATCCTTCTCATTAATGGTTATATTTTCCTCCTTTTAGTGTCCATAGTAATTATTGACTGCACAAGATAGTGGATTTTACCTTTGGGGGTACAGAATATTTTTGTGTTGCCTCAGATCTTTTTGAGGTTTCTTCTTGGGGTCAGAGGAGCAGTTAAATTACATGGAACCTATGGGGTACTTTAGAGTACTCTTAGGATTTGTTAGATGAGTCCAGAGTAGTACTTAGTCTATGGCAGTTCTTCTTAACTAGGGAACATTTTGCTCCTCGGGGATATTTGGCAGTGTCTAAGGACATTTATGACTGTGATGACTGTTGATACTGGTAGGTATATGATAGGTAATGGTGCTAAGCATCTCATAATGCATAGGGTAGCACCCCACATTAAAGAATTTTTCATTTCAGAGTACCATTGGATCCAAAGTTAAGAATCCCTGGTCTGAATATTCCCATTACTGAGGCAAGACTTTCCTAAGTATTGTGTACACTTCCCCATAAATACTGAGGTTTTCTGTTCTAGGTAGAAGAAATAGGCACTATTATTCTCAGACATTATGTGTGCACTCCGGTATTGTTTTAATGTTTTTCTTCCTTAATGCTTTTGGATTTTTCTTTTCCAGGTACTTTCCTGGTAAATCTCAATAATGACCCTCTGCAGAGTTTCAGTTTCTCTATGAAACTTTGCCTTCTTTGATACTGTAGCGTTGCAGCTCTAACTGCTCTAGAGTCCCTGCAGTCTTAGCTCTGTCTACTCACGTCGTTACCCAATGAAGATTGTCCGGCTGTTATGGTCGGCCAAGATGCAGACATGGGAGTAGGTCCACCTAACTTTGTCAGCAGTTCTGGAGAACAGTGAGTGCAGAGTTCTCGCTTTGTGCTTCTTTCTCCTCCAAGTAGCTCTCCTCT